AGCGCCCGCGGGAGAGCGTTCACCTGCGGCGGGAGTCTCATCTCGCCCTGCTGGGTCCTCACGGCCGCACACTGCTTCCCTGACGGGTCGGTACAAACAAACCGACAGTACAGACATATGCGTTCCCCTGTGTAATATAATAATAATAATAATAATAATATGAAATGTGAAGAAAAATATATTATGTAGTAAAACATTTTTTTTTGATTTCCCCCGAGAAACTTCGATTTTTTGTGAGCGAACTTTTGCACACTAACGCAAAAAGATATGAGAAAGGAAGAAAAATGTTGCGTTCCCTTGCAAGACTTTTGCCGTGCCTCCGAGCATCTTTGCGAATGCAAAGTCTCTCAAGGGAACGCACAAGTTCCGGTTGATGGTGATAATAGGGAAAATTAGATTTCAGGCTTTTGCATCATACATTGCCTTCCACAGAGAAATCTCGCGTTTTGTGTTCACTCGCAAAAGGTTTATGAGAAAAACAGAAAAAAAGTTCTGGTGATGGAAAAAAAATTAGATGGGAGGGGAAAAAATCAGTGCTTTTGCGTTCACTCGCAAATTTTTGCGCTCCCTCAAGAAATTTTTGCAAGGGAATGCATATATATGTTCATGTGATGGGAAAGGAGCGAACACAGCATTTATCGGCAGAACGGAACAATTCTGGTGATGGAAAATTAGATTTCAAAGCTTTTACAATCATTTGCAAACTTTTGTGTTCCGCTGAGAAACTGTGCAAACGTTCTGGTGATGGGAAAAAATATGTGATGGGTGAAAAAAAAAATTCCCCAAAAAAGGCAAAAGCCTTGAAATGTATATTTTCTTCCATGTTCCTTTATTAGGGCCTTCATGATAAATGCAGTTGGATGAAATGAATGAATAAATGAGAAGCATAGGAAATGGATGGGAAGAAAAAAGTATGGATGGACGTGTTTTTGGAAATATATTTACACATTTATCTCTTCTTGTTTGTTTTCAGCACTAAGACTAGCATCCATAAAATATCAGTATTTGTGGGGAGGAACGCCATCAATGAGACGGACGCTCAGAGAGAGCAGGAGTTCAGGGTCTCCGAGCTCTTCATCCATGAACACTTCGACAACACAGACGGCAACTACAACCACGACATCGGTAATACTGACTGAGAACTAACTAAACTAAACCCTAAACATCCCTACAACACATTTGCACAATTCACTTTTAATTAAAAAACAAATTTCTGTGCAGTGAATAAATGTAAACACATTTCTGACCATCAAATTTCTGAAAAGATCAGTTCATGCTGGTACTACAGACTGGTTTTGTGACTGCTGGTTCTGGTGGAGCTGGTTGACCTTGGTTGGTTAAACTAGTAAAGAAGCATTCAGAATCCAAAACACAACACATGCTGCTCTTTTCAGCAAAGTCAAAGTAGCTTTATGAGTTTAGTTATGCATCAGCCTGTCATTAACGTCTGATTGACTGGTCTGTGTTCAGCGCTGTTGAAGATCCGCAGTCCTGACGGTCGCTGTGCTAAAGAGTCCAGTTCAGTCAAGACAGTCTGCATCCCTGAAGCGCATCAGTCCCTCAGTGTTGGGACGTCCTGTGAGGTCACTGGATACGGCAGAGAACAAGAAGGTAATCAGTGGAGTTTGTGTTGAGAGTGTGTTTGTTCTGTTTGCGCTAATGAAGGGTTCAGTCATTGTGTGTGTGTGTGTGTGTGTGTGTGTGTGTGTTGTAGGGTTGTGGTATTACTCTCAGTATCTCAGAGAAGCAAAGGTCAACCTGCTGTCGGAGGATGTGTGTTCGAGTAAAGCATATTACGGCAACATGATCACAGACAACATGCTGTGTGCCAGGAGTCCCGACTGGAGCGCGGACGCGTGTAAGGTGAGCCGGAAACAACGGTGATCCGTATACATGTGCTGGTATATTAAATATATAAAATGCATATCATGGCACTGCCAATTAAGTAAAATTGGGAACAATTTGGTGTCTCATTACTTTTCTAAAGCAATAAAGGCGTAAATCCAATGCATGAAATTACATTTAGTTGTGTCCTACATATTACATAACCTTATACAAACCTACATTTGTCATCCCTACTCATTGACAACTTAATTTACAACTATATTTTTTATTATTTAGGATCTGCAACCATGTTAGCTATTCTAGCATATCATTATGTTATTAAAACCTTTAATCTAGGATATCTATCTGCCTGTCTGTCTGTCTATCTATCTATCTATCTATCTATCTATCTGTCTGTCTGTCTGTCTGTCTGTCTATTATCTATCTATCTGTCTATCTATCTATCTATCTGTCTGTCTGTCTGTCTGTCTGTCTATTATCTATCTATCTGTCTATCTATCTATCTATCTGTCTGTCTGTCTGTCTGTCTGTCTATCATCTATCTATCTATCTATCTATCTATCGATTGATTTATATTTTTTATTAATTTATTCTTTTTATATTTGTTGTTATTGTTTTTTGTTACATTAATTTAACATTTTTTTTAATCACACACACACATACTCTATTTATATTGGCACAAAAAAAGGAAATTGTAGCAGTAATTTTCTGTCAGGACAAATAAAATTGAAAATACAGGTAAAACACTGGTAAAAAAAAAAATATACAGAAAATTCCTTAATATTAATACAGTACATTGTTCCCTATTTTTACAGATTTTTTTAAAGGCTACTTGTAAAATGATTGCACATTTTTAGCACTGAGAAGCAAGAAAAGCCTCTCAGGTTGATGCGTCTGTTCTTCTGGGATGTTTCAGGGTGACTCTGGCGGGCCGCTGGTGTGTCGCGTTCGTGACCGTGTGTTTCTGTTCGGTGTGGTGAGCTGGGGAGAGGGATGTTCCAGACAGTTCCGTCCTGGAGTTTATACTAAAGTCAGCAACTATTACAACTGGATCCTGGAGAAAACCGGCCTGTCGTCGCTCAGCTGAGAACAGGAGCTCACCTGCCCTCATTCACGGCAGAGACCAACATAAAGAACCTGAGCGAACATCTGCAAACGAGTCGTGTTCAAACTGATTTCTGTTCAGTTACTCGTTAATATGTCCATCATTCTTACATTCCATTCTATTGCCAAGATATAACAGCAGCTCAAAGGACTTTCTGTATGAAAAATATTTGTGAAAGTATTGTTTTGCATTGGTATTAAAATGTACAGTGCCACTTTGTTTTCGTTTGTTTTTATATTGTATAATTTTATATTGCTGTGTAACTATTAATGTTATGTCAATGATAAAAGCCAATTATTAGGCCAATAAACAAGTACTGTGTACATTCTGAGTAAATGTTGTTGTGTAAAATAAATGTTTGCATTAATATGTGTGTGTATAAATAGATACAAATGTATTTCCTAATAATAAATAAATTGTAGCTTTATTTTACTGGAACGTTAAAGTAACTGAAACTGTAAGGTAATAAAGTTTTGACCCACCTCTTCGTTTAAAGATTTAGTGTGTTTTGGAATCTGAATATGAATAAATGAATTCTAGGAAGGTTCGACATCAGGCTGTGCATTTAATAAGATTTTCGTTGTGTTATGAGCACATATGACATGTTTCTGCATATTTAATCTCCTTGAGTAGTATATTCATTCATGAACAGCCAAAACAAACACAGTTTACACTCTTTATTTAAACACACACATAATTTGACCATAAAATCACTGCAATTTACACAGATACACACGCTTACTATCAGTGCTATTATATTCTATCATGCTATAACAATGAGGTAAAATGTGTCAAATGTCAGCATCATCATAACAGCTGTGCTATAATTCCAGTGCAGCTGCTGAGTGGAAACTGGATGAGGTCATGGGGTCAGAGGTCAGACTGACTCACAGATGGAGTTTAAAGCACTGACGTCACTCACAGGAAACCCCTCACTCACACGCCCAGTTAGGTCTTATTTTAAGTTATAAAGAATTTTTATGTACATTTGATTTTCCAGTAACTCCCAAAGAATTTTCCATTGTCATGGACGCAATTCCTAAAGGAGTTGATATGCTTTTAAGGGAGTCTGCTGGGTCATCCAGCACTTTACCTACTTCTTTGAAATCCCAGTATAGGATAACTATGCTTTTTGTCACATCCTTCATCACGTAACTATAAAATTAGATCTCTCGTTCAAAAGGAGCTTGTAACAACTCCATATCTGGTGAGTCTAGAATTCGGTTGATCATATCAATTGGAAAAAAGTATGAACTCTGCCTTTGAAATACATAATAGCTAACAAGGTTAGAGAAATCTCATTCAGATTGTTACACAGATTTTACCCAGCTAAAGTGTTTCTGAAAAGGTTTAAATCAGATTAATAATGAAACTGATATTCATATCTTCTGGGATTGTCAGTTACAGCTATTTTGGATTGAGTTTTCTAATGCTATTAATCTCAATGTGCTCCCCGGTTTCTCTCTGCTTTTTAAGGATGTACTGCTCGGTTTCTTTAATATGCAAAAAGATCAAATTAATGAATACTTTATTATTAACCTATTATTACTTCTTGCAAAATGTCATATTCACCGCAGTAAATTCTCTCATCAAAATCCTTTCTTTATTATTTAAAAAAAAATGTTCAGTATATCGGTAAGGTTCAACAGTATATCCGACTATTTCATCTTCCATTTCACTTTTTATCCTCCTGAGACCCTGTGACCTCATATGAGGACATTATATTTTGGTGTATTTCTCTGAGACTATACATGCCACAGTTTTAAGTCTGGATGTCCTGTTCAGAGCACTTTCAGGGCTTTTCAGAGATACACTGTAAAAAAGGATTTGAGACTTTAGCTTCCCCAACTCATTTTCCTAAGTCAGTTCAACTAAAATGTTGGGTACACTTAAGATATTAAGTTTACCAGTGCCCAACTAATCCGTTTAATCAGAGTAGTTCACGCAACAAAGATTTCTTAGTTGTATGAGTGGCAATGCAAGGAAACCCCGCCCACCGAGCCTTCCTCGCAGAACAGGTCGCCATGCTTGAAGACTGACGAAAAGCTTCAATTTTTGAGTCAAGAGTTCCAGAGGTAAGAGCAAACTTATGTCCAGCTTGTATTTATGAAAAATGTTTGATACATTAGGGTAAAGAGTAATATTACACAGGTTGTCAGTGTAATCCTCACGGCAGTGTTGTACGGAGTGTAAAACATGGACAAAAATATATTTATAGTCAAGTCAAGTCAAGTCACCTTTATTTACATAGCGCTTTTAACAATACAGATTGTGTCAAAGCAACTGAACAGCATTAATTAGGAAAATAGTGTGTCAATAAT